TCATAAATAAAAATCTTATAATTTTTAGGATCCTGGTAAAGACCAATTTTCAGTTACGTGTCAGTATAACCGTAGTTAACCTCTTCAGTTACACCCACATCCACAACTAATACATTTTTCATGTTATCTATTTTTCACATTCAATGGTTTTCTTTTCGACATTCGCCTATATTTCTCTTAGATATTTTTCCTTTCGACATTTTTTTTCTTTTTCCATCCATTTCACACACCCACACTCAGTGATCCTTTTAGAATCTGACCATAACAGGAGTTAATTTGCTACTTCTCCAAGCCAGATATGAACAGAAAAGCGACGACGTCGATATGTGTATGTGTGTCCATTTAGCTGATGTATTTGATCAAGAGCTGACAGAAAATCAAAGTCCCAGATTGATTCATGTGCTTCTGTTGTGATAGGATATCGGAAACATATGCTCGACAAGTTTCTGAATCGATCAATGAAGCCGAAGAGTTTTGATGAAGGATTCAGAGGTCGTACGTCAAGATGTTCAATGCACGGAAAAGCATGAGACAATTCATCCAGAATAGAATCGGTATCAACATCTGCATCAAACTTATCGATTGTGAGTGTACGTATGTGTTCAAACGAAATTGATCGTAGTTGATTTCGAAAAGCTGATATACGTATCTGAATTGATAAATGACACACATTTGGCATCTTATTCAGAAGGTTCTCCAGAATACCATCGATCATTGGCAAAGATAAAACTAAATGTTTTATCTGACTCAAATAGATCATTGACTCAAGAGTCAATAAAGAAAAGTTGCAGTCCAAATGCAACGTTTGCACACTACTAAAACGGTGATCGATTTTTCTAGGTAATTTTGATAACGTTAAACGAGTAATACGTTCGTAGAAAATCGTCGGATCAGGTGTTGTAAAATAAAAAGATTGTGTAAAATTTTCGTTTACATGCGTTGGAGCGAAACAGGGTATTGAGAATATAGAGTGCCTATTGCAAGCTACAAACCAACGTTTCTCTTCAAGCCAAAATGGAGCACGAAATGAATCGAGCGAATTTTGTGTCAGTTGATCGAAAATTTGAAATTTGAAATGGAAGGTCATGAAATTTTTTGTCAAATATTTCCATCGCTCCCCATCGACCAGATCTTGCTCACCGTTAGAATCAATTTCAAAATATTCCAGGTGAGGAATATTTGGTAAGAATTGTTCCATGTCATTCATGCAGATTCGCCAACCTATATAAAAGAAATTCAACAAGTTCTCTATGCGTATCGGTGAGTTAACAGAGAAATCATAAAGAAAGGATCTGAATTTCAGTCCATATTATCAGTCTGACGAAAGGATTCAACTTTTTTCTAAGTAGCAATTACTTGCCTTGTATTGTGAGAATGAGATGTTTAAGATGAGTGAATCGAAAAAGAAAATCTTTCTTTTCTCCACTGCAATGTAGTTTGATATTCAGTGATCTGAGTTGTGGTGCAGCATAACAGAGATGTTTCAGAGTACTAATTAAACATTGTCTGACGATCAAGTGACGCAGACAAGAAAAACTTATTGAGTTCAGGAAGTTGCCATGGGTCAATGTCAATCTATATAATTGAGGTAGTACTGAAGAATAAATGTTCGATAGATGCTTGTCAAGGTTTCCCTCCTCATCGTATGACATAAGTGAAATCCATGAATCCTGATTAGTTTGAGCTATATAGGAAAACGAGCGTAGACCATTGAGTTGCGGTAATTTTGTGACAATCGGCTCCCACAAAGTGTTTGCAACTTCGATCATCGTCAACGATCGAAGAGAAACGAATTGCTCAATATTGAAACGTGAAAGAAAAAGTCCCACTTGTCCAACAGTATCTTCATCGTCCGATAGTGTCAATGCGATGACTTGAGCTGGTATCATACGCTGACAGACAAAATCGAAATCCACTCGTCGAACCGATTTGAAATTCACTCGATAATATGGATAGGACCCAAGAACAACATCGAAATAAGGACTCACACCCGTAAATGTACGAAAAATTTCTTGAATTTTAAAGTAGCTCAAAAGATTATGGACAAGTTCCACAGGAAACTCATCCAAACGACAGCAAAACATTGTGCAATGACAAATGTTACAACAATGTGCGTTTTTCTTCCGACCTTATCATTAAATAAATGTTGACTGAATAAGTCATTGTATTGATGAGACATGAGAAAACGAAAAATAAAATCTATGATTGGAAAGTCAATAAAAAGATATTTGTATGTTTTGAAAGTGAATGTGAGTGAGTGAAGAGAAAACCCACATCCATGCCCACCCGAATCGATTTTAGTCGATTATTTCTGAAATCAACTAAAATAGATCCCTATGATTTCACTAAAAGAAATCAATTTTAATCGATTTTAATTGGTTACTAATGTAAGTACGTCATTTCAATTATGAAACAATTTATATAGTAGTTCCAAATTTAATTAGCTTGTGGAACTTTACTCAAGTAAAAAAGAAAAAAACTGGAGAAAAATATAATATCTATCTTGAGTTTTAATTCATAATCATACTAAAAAACATAAATGTAGAAAAGAGTTTTACTTTTTTATGAAAGAAAATGAATATAAATGAGAATTTTCAGTCATTATACGACCATTATCAACCAATAAACGAGAAATTTGATGAGTGTGGGTGTTGGTGTGAAGATGAGGATGTGCGTAGCTGTGAGCCATATTTTCACCCACAGACACATTCATATCCACATCATTGATAATTGCTTTGTAGCTCAATATAAGTTGACTGGTTTTATATATAACTCGATGTATTTAGTATAAAAAACTTCGGTCTCAATATGCACTTCTCGCTAATATATCATGGTGCCTAATTGAGAACAAAATGTTTGAGTGAAACGATTTCATATTATATGAGTCACATCACATAATCAAAAATGTTCACTAAAAAAGCCGATATTGTAAGCCTTGTATCGCCACGAAGGTAAACTTTTCTTTTCATATATTTTTCCATTTTGTAAAGAATCAAAAGTTACATAATATGTAAAAAATTCAGTGTGACTTTTTTAATTTCAACAACTGGCAGCAACTATATTGCCGAAAATCGACCATTTTGAACTCATAAATTGTAATATTTCTCATCCATGTTCAACTACAAAATCCCAATAAATAGATTAAATGTAATAATTCTTCAAATACCTCATTTTTTTCCGGCGATTTATGCTCTCTTTGCGTACATTGCACGAAAAAATTCTTTGTCTTACTGAAGTATAATTCTAATAAACATTTATTGTACGATTTCTGACTATTTTTTTTGATAGTAAGTTGGTAGTATCCTAAAGTCGATGTGGGCTAACTTTACTATGATACATCTAAATAGGCTAAAAATTTAGTTTCGATGGTTTTAGACCATGTCCTTTTAAATGCACATAAATATTAAAAAAACCTAAATTTTGGCCAGTGTCTCGTATACTGGAGTATGAGTGTGGATGTGGTCTTAATCCGCTAAGAAACATACGTACACCCACATCCAGCTTAGAAAATATCGAAACCAATCTTGTTTACATTGATTTTGGCATCATGTCGAGTGTCGAGCAACAGAAAGGCTCGATTGATATTGAAAGTAATGACCCAAATGAGAACTTCTATCTTCTCTATGATCGATCGTCAGAGAAAAAAAGATGTTTCTTCTATCATCATCTTCCTCGACTGCTAATCATTGACGTTCGAGAAGATTTAAATGATTAAATTAACCGGACTATTTCCCTTTCCGAATGACAAATCCACAAGTCCTGCATTTTTCAGTTATCCACTTACTTCGATATTGAATTTGAACAGAATCCAAAAAAATAGTCATGTTTTCCTCTTCTACCCACCGTTCTCTTAGAAATTGACATTGATAAAAGATTGGCAAGTGCCATACATGGACTCTAATCAATTTTTATTCTTCATAATCTCGCTTTCGACGCATCTTTTTCTTCATTCAGACATATGATCTTTATGCTGATCGATGAGAAATGGCGATATCTGTCTTTAGAACAATTTCAAGTGAATGTATTTAACTTAATATTCTTGGTTTGATCGATTCTTTTGTTCATTTGATCTGAATTGATAAGCTAGAATTGATCTCCTCCTTTAACCGAGGATTAAGTGCTAAAGTGAATTACTTTTAAGTTAAACTACTAAACCAAAGTTAAAATGCCAGATCTATTCTTATATTGAACAAGTTTGTATTTTTCTTCGTACAAACAAATATTCTGTAAGGATCTATCACGAAAAAATAAATTTTATAATTGATTTTTCAATCTCTTCTTTTGATGTCGACACAGATATTTGATAATAATTCATCTTTTTGTTTGGTTTGAAAAACTTATTTGAAGATGAATACAAACAATTTAAAACATTTGTTCGATTAAAAGTATTTCAATATCTAGAAAAAACACATCATTGTATTTTGCAAAAAAATAAATGTTAAACGACAGTAAAATATATATCGTCGCACTTTTTGATTTAGTAAAACAACGTTATGCATTGTGGAAGAAAATGCACATGTTGCTATGATAGTAGTTGATTTAACCTTGATGAAAAATTGTCCAATCAAATAAAATTATTTTCTTTTTGATAAAATCAAGACTAAGATTTCACATTACTTTATTAAAATTCAACGGAAATGAAATAATATGTATTTCGAAACAACACGAATGAAATGTTTTTTTTGATACTTTAAGTAAATAATATATTATTTTAGATAGAACTTTTTCTTCATTTAACCATCTTGATTGAATTTGCACTATCTATCGCATGAAAGACATATGGCATAATCTCTCATCATCATCAGTAAGAAATTTGTCCTTTTATGTTTGCAAATAAAAAGATAACGAAAAACAATCCTATCTTATATTATTTATTTGTTATGAGTCAATATTTCTTATATAAATATCAATGAGAATATTTTCTTTCAATACTTGTATTTGTTGCACTCACTGACCAATTTAATTCATATCAAAATCGATCTTTCAACTACAAGAACAAGATGAAGAATCTGATTGTATTAATAACATTATTGGTAGTCTGCGTTGGTGAGAGAATTATTTTACTTACTTTCTCAAATTGATTGTATTCACTATAGTCTGTGTTCATGGTGCTACGTATTGCTACTTTTGTGCGAATTGTCCTAATCCATTCACCCCAAACTCACCATATGTTTCAATCGTTACAACAAATACAGGATTTTGTGCTGTAAGTATAATCAAATTCGTCAATTAAGATAAAGATTAATTTAAATTATTAAAAATCAATATTTTTCATTTTAATGTGTAGAAAAAAAGTTATTCATCTGATCCAAATGCTCCAAATAGTCGTGGTGCTGCTGAACCTGGCCTTTGTGTCGTAACTGGATGTAGATTGGTGAACAACCCTCCTTATCAACCGATATACACTTGTTGTTGTAACAGTAATTACTGCAATGGTAGCATGTAGAGAAGTACTTCGATCAGACCAACAATGGATGAACTTCTGAACATTTAATATTGTTTCCTATTATATAACATACATTAAGTTAACAAAAACATAGGTTATTTTTCAATGAAATGTTTTTTTTTTAATCTTATCAAAATCATTCTGGGAATGGGAAAGATGGTTTGATAAGTTATATTTAATAAAATAACCTTATATACTTATATGATTTGTATTAATGTTCTTCGATTCATTCTATTAGAGATATTTAAATACGTAAAGTATTACATTGATAGTGCTATTGCAAACAAAAATTTTTGTTAAGAAATTATTTTTTCAATAATGATTTCTCAACATTTACTTCGAGAGAAAACAGTCTTTGAGTTAGAACTTCATCTAGGTTCGACACTCTGTTTTCGAGCTTTGGTATTGTTGAAATTATATGACGAAATAAAACGGTGGAAACGAGTAAATATGATGTTAGTCAAGGGGAAACAAATTGATATCTGATCTTAGTAGCCATTTTGAAATCAATATAAGTCTTTATTGTAAAACATTCATAACTCATTATGAAGTTGTATCTACCAATGACAAAATGACTGCAAATCGTATTTTTGATCTAAGACAGAGTTTTCGGTCAGAAGAAATTTTTGTAGAGATGTATATATATATATATATGAATAGTATAAGTGTAGATGTTTGTAATACAAATCAAATTTTAATATGAAGATGCAAAATATTGATATACTTTCTGAGTCTCTTTAATACATCCTTGAATAACATTTAATCATAGGCTGTGTAAGCTTCATCGAACACATTCTCTAGTTCACCTTGTGATTTTGGATTCTTGTTTTTTAATTTTCTCTTTGATAATGTTCTAGACCAGTTCAATAGAGTTAAAATTAAGATTATAACCTAGCTACTGACATAATTCGATATAATATTGTTCACACAATTGCTTGAATTGAGCACTTATAACGGGTGATCGAAAATTATTTGCACAAAATGTTTGTTCATTTTTGACCCACCTGAAAGTATTTCTGACGAGTCAAAATCTATGCGTTAGAATCAGAACTTTGTGCTCTTTCCGAATATGGATTTAGAAATTTTGTGTTGGTTTCTGTTCAAGAGTAGTGAAATAATCTTTGAAAGGCCCAAAAAATTAATTTGGACGGAACGTTTGGGCCGAAGTTTCTGCTCAAAATGTTTATTTGTTTTGGTTTGCTTGAAAGTATCTTCACATGAGTCAAAACTATGGGTTAGCACCAAAATTTTGTGCTCTTTCTGAATATGGGTCTAAAAATGTTGTATCTATTTTTGTTCGAGAGTAGTGAGGGAACCTTTGAAAGGCTTAAACAATTAGTTTGGACTGCGAACAAACAGGTTTTGATAATCCATACAAATCCCTTTGAGAAGATGCTAAAAATTCTCGAATTCGGTAGTTCTGTAGAGCAAACAGTTCTTTAAAAAATGTGATATTGAACTAAGCTGTAGCTTTTACTCAAGGTAAGCTATGCGCATTTTTCCAAGAGCTCCTGTCCACGTAAAATACTTTTGGTCAAAAAAACGATTTTTCAAAAATGACGATTTAGGAAAAACGAAAATTCAGAAGCCTTGTTTAAAGACAAAAAAAAGCTCGCACAGAATATTTTGTAGAATAGGTTTTGCTGTACATGCTGGTATAATAATAAAGGTTCCACCTTTTAGTTTCGGATGACAACAGCAAAAATACAAAAATGTGCAAACAAAATTTCCGTCCAAACTAAGTTTTTGAGTCTTTCAAAGATTATTTCACTACTCTCGAACAGAAACCAACACAAAATTTCTAAGCCCATATTCGGAAAGAGTACAAGATTCTGATTCGAACGCATAGATTTTGACTCGTCGGAAATACTTTCAGGTGGGTCAAAAATGAACAAACATTTTGTGCAAATAATTTTCGATCACCCGTTATATCATTTGGTTCTATCGAAAACATATGAGAATCCATTTAATTTCTGCATATTTGTAGATAAAAGTATGAACAAAAAACTCACACAGTATATCAATAATTTGTATCTTCATATTAAACTTTTATTTGTATTATAAAACGTCTACACTTGTACTATTCATATACGATATCCAAAAAAACTTCTTCTCATTGTAAATTCTATATTTTAGATCAAAAATACGATTTGCAGTTATTTTGTCGTTGGTTGTTTTATATAGCATAATGGCGTGGTATTAGGGATGCCAAATTCAAATTTTAGAAATCACGAGCTTTTCCTAAAAAAAGCAGATGTTGACTAGGAGATTTTTTCCAAAAAATCAAGATAAAAATCAGAAGATTTTTTGCGGAATTTGATCAAATAAGAGAGGATTAAGCAGAATTTTTGAAGCAAGCAATCGATTTTACTGATTCCAACTGAAAATTGTACATTACAGACAAGAAAAGCCTTTGGTGATCTAATCATTTTTTACATTCTGCAGAAATGAAAAATAACTTGTATTGGACAGTCATTTGTTTCTAAATTTAGATCCATAATGTTTAGTCATTATGATATATTAAAATGAAACAAATCTTGATTTCAAAATGCTTTTTAATAGAGCAGTGATAGCACTTGTTTAGCTATATTACAGCTTGAAGAAGATTTCATTCTAACAGATTCGAAAGTTTATTAATCTTGTCTTATTCTAATGAGAACATTCGAGGAAACACCACACCTAGGAGGCTATTTCAATGTACGATTATTTACACTAAAAGCCTATACGATTAGGGAGGAAACAAGGATTCTTCCTTCCTCAATTTTTTCATTCGTTCTGCATTTTTTCTGAAAAGTTTAGCTAGCCGATCTTTTGCGTTCTTTCGGAATTTTTTAATCGACTACATCCACCAAAAATATGCAAAAAGGGAAGTTGTCATTCTGGTTTTCAAGGAGAATGAATCAATTTTTCCGAAAGAAAAACAACTATCTGCTTTTGGAAGATTTTCTTCGTAGCTTTCTTCCATACCTGAATAAACCCAAACGAAAACCAAAGTGAATATTTGTTTTTCGAAGTTTCACGGACGGCGGGAAATTTTTGTACCACATATTTATTTTTTTCTTAGCCGCTTCAAAGACCTTATATAAATTAAAAAGCGTAGAATCACAAGTAACGTTCATCGAGATCGATTCAATCAGCTCTGGATTGAATTATTGAAGATCGTTCTGCTTTGCGATTTTACATGCATTCAAAATCTGGAAATCTGACGGAAAAAGTACTATTTTTAAAACACAAGAGATGGCAAAACACTTGAAAGGAAGAGAAAACCCATAAAAATTCAGAATTAGTCCAGTAATTCGGCTCCTTTACACCCCGAAGTTGGGATTCAAGAATCCAAAAAGAAAACGAGAGTAAAGGAGTTTTTAAAATTAGAAAATGAAAAAAATCATGGAGAATTGGATGAACAATGATCTAAAAAACAGCGTTTCAGACAGGCACAGAGACAGGTATGGATGTGGGATGTGAGTGTGAGGTGTGTGAATGAGTGTGGGTGCGCTGAGTTTTCCAAGAATCAAGGAAGAGAAGAAATTTTTTACCAACCAATGGACGTAAAACTTCATTTATAAAAGCATGATGTTTTTTATCACTGCTTTTTCCTGATTTTGAAGTTTTGCCTACAAAATTTGGTGGTATAATTAAATTTTTTTGCATATTTTTAGCAAATGTATTTTCTTTTGGAGAATAAGCAAGAACTTCTCTAATAAATGACCATCGGCTGACGGAACTAGTTGAACTGTATAACATTCAAAGGCAATAAGGATTTCTGACAGCTATGTAGTGTTTAGAATATTTGTTTTGACGTTCGTATTTTTAGTTCATTTTTGTTAACGAAGGCTTTTCTACATTTTAAAAAAACTTCATTCATCTTTATTTATACGCTTATTTATTGTAAACCATTTGTAAAACATAAACACAGTGAAAACTAAATACAAGTAACACAAAGTAAGCGTCGATAAACTTTCACTGGAAGAATATGATCATGTTAAACATATAGTAAGCGATCATACGATATATGACATGTGCATCGAATAATGCTGTTTCTAATGTTTCTGTATAGTTTAAAAGAACCGAAGTATATTAATAATTAGAGTGCTCACTGATAGAAATTGCCGTCTGTGTTATTTTTTTTTTGTATTAATGCATCTTATAGACTTAATGAACTTTTACATATGGTAAGTAAGTGAGGACTTTAGTTTTTTCTATGAGTATAGCAAAGACCTTGCTGGTAGGGCATAGGTGTGTGGAAGTGTGAATGTGGGTGGGGATGAAGAGAAGAATGACACTCACACTCACACTCACACCCTCTTTTAGAGGCTATAGCCTAAAATATTGATATTTTTATTTGCATTTGTGGAAAGGCAAGTAAACAAAATAAAAAAGTCCGATATAAATAATGACGAAAACAATATTTATAAATCCATTTCATTCAGGTAGCGTACTTGTGTAAATGACACATCACCTTGCTGTTTCGTTTTTGCTTGCAACCAAAACTGTGGTACGAATCCAAGAATATAGAGAAAAGGCATAGTAGCAGCAATATATTGTGGAACGGTGCTGCCTCTGACAATCCAGATACTGGCAAAAATGGTAAGCAATACACCAGAGATAAGAAACCATAACGGCCAAATGATATTTGAATGTTGTGGGACGACTGATCGTCGTGCATAGAGATAGAAAACAACAATAGTGTGTAACAAACAATAGAATGAAATAAATCCAAACATTCCAAAAGCAGCAATGACATGAAGATAAGGATCATGATCTAAACTTACGATGGTCATAATAAGAAGAAATATGACTGAGATAAGTGCTACAGCATGAATAACACATAGAGTAGCACGATGAATGACAGACTGAGATTGAAAAAGATATTGTAATCGACCAATAAGAATTAATATCATTTGTAGACATAAGAAAACAAAACCAAACACGAAATAAGGATAAGCAGAACCAATTCCAAGTTGCGAGATTTGTGGTAGGTCTTTTTCTGGCCAAGTGTTCTGAAGTACTTGCCTACACACCACTAATGTTAGAATGAATGTAATGATGGCTGTGAATGGTAAAATAACAAAGGACCAATACCAGATTAGCGCTGTAGTTCGAGCCATTTTATATTGAATAAGAAATCTGAAAAAAAGAATGTATATATGAAGTCGATATAACAAGAAAAGTTATCGAACGGCATACAGTGTGACTGACATGCCTACTTTTATTAATATACGAAAATAATATTATAAAATAATTTCGGTTGATTTGATCTCGTTGCACTACCCACACCCACACCCACACCCTCTTAAGAAAGATCATTAATGAATATGAAATTGTTTTATGGAATAATTTTGATGAATTTATAAATGGATTGTTTACCAATGAAATTAGTTTCCGTCGAAGTTGAACTTATTTCTATTATCTATCTTTTATGGGTTCATAACATGAAATGTTTCTATAAAAAGTTTTTGCATTTTTTTCTTCAATATTAATTATATATGAGATGAAAGCTTTTTTCTTTCTTCTATAGAATAGTATATATATATATGAGTATGACAAAATATTATTATTATTTTTTTCTTTATATGATGCTATTCGTTCGTATTTATAGCATATGAATAGTGATTCATATTGAATTCAATATAATTTGATAGATTTCTCAAAGTTCTACAAAATGATAAAATCGATAGAGTACTTAGAATTAGTATAAAAAACTAAGTCGATCTATTAGCGTCAGTCAAAACATCGTTTTTATTATTTATTTATCTTTTCGAGATTTTTAAAAATTTAAAAATCATTTTTCACAGTCACACTAGTCGAAGGATTTTATGACATATATATATCGACTTAGTTTTTTATGATAATTCTGAGTATACTATCGGTTTTGAATAGGAACTCTGATTATGCTGACAAAAATCCATCACATAGAACAGAACATTTAGTAGAGTTTTGACAAATCTATCGAATAGTATAGAATTGAAAGTGGATCATTACTTTCACAACTCAAATAGAGAGAGAGTTTTCCCATGACTAAACAGCTTCATCTGAAGCAAAAAATTGATATTTTGTCACATACTCATTTATGCTATTCAATAGAGGAAAGTTTTTTATAGAAATATTTCCTGTCATGAATCCATAAAGCATATGATAATAGCAAGTTTTTTTAATCAACTAAAATGAAGTCTAATTCGAATGTCAATTGATTTCTAACATCAGCATTGACTTATTTATTGCTCAACGATCTTTCTTCTCTATTAAAAATTTATTTCGATTCTGAAATAATAATTTTATTTAGGTTAATGAATCAATTAATAATGAATTAGAAAATTTTAAAGCACTTTCATTATCTGAAAGTGAAAATGAATCAATAATAGATTCAAATTATTTAACAATAACACCTAATACAACATTTCCATCAATTGAACATTCATTATCAATAAAAGGTCCATGTGAAGATGATTTTGAAATAATTAAATTAATATCAAATGGTGCATATGGTGCTGTTCATTTAGTAAAACATCGTCAAACACAAGAACGTTATGCTATGAAAAAAGTTTCAAAAACAAATTTAATTTTACGTAATCAAGTTGAACAAGTTTTTGTTGAACGTGATATAATGACATTTACAGATAATCCATTTGTTGTTGCACTTATATGTACATTTGAAACAAAAAATCATTTATGTATTGTTATGGAATATGTTGAAGGTGGTGATGCTGCAACATTATTAAAAAATATTGGTGGACCATTAAATATTGATATAGCACGAATGTATTTTGCTGAAACAACATTAGCTGTTGAATATTTACATTCATATGGAATTATTCATCGTGATCTTAAACCTGATAATCTTTTAATAACATCAATTGGTCATATAAAATTAACTGATTTTGGTCTATCAAAAATTGGTTTAATGTCATTAACAACAAATTTTTATGAAAAACTTCTTGATAAAGAAACAAAAACATTTAATGATAAACAAATATGTGGTACACCATCATATATAGCACCTGAAGTTATTTTACGACAAGGTTATGGTAAACCTGTTGATTGGTGGAGTATGGGAATAATGTTATATGAATTTTTAGTTGGTATACCACCATTTACAGGTAATACACCAGATGAATTATTTGTAAATGTTATTAATGGACAAATTGATTGGGAACCATTAATATCTGATATTAATGAAAATTCATCAGATGAAATTATTTGTTGTGATGCAAAAAATTTAATTGAACAATTACTTCAACATGATCCATCAAAACGTTTATGTACATTAGGTGGTGCATATGAAATTCGTTCACATTCATTTTGTTCATCAATTAATTGGAATACATTATTATGTGAAAAAGCTGATTTTGTACCTGTTTTAGAATCACCTGATGATACATCATATTTTGATACAAGACAAGATCGTTATAAACATTTTGATGATGATAATAATGATGATGATGATAATTTATCAACAACAACAACAAATGATTCTGATTCATTATTTGCATCATTTTCATCTGTTTCATTAAAATATGTTTCAGAATTAGCGGGAAATTCTAAACAACGTTATTCACCTAAACAAGATAATAATGATTTAATATTAACTAAAAATGTATTAAGAGCAAATTCATGTACAGATTCATTTAGTTCAAATAATAGTATTCAAATTGATTCAACAAATAATTTTCAATCACTTCTTATGAGTAAATCAATGACAAATGAGAAAGGTAATCATGATGGTTTTTTCCCCTCCTCCCCATAAACACAAAGTCATGAGAGGAAAAATGATTCATTCAGTTTTTCGGCTTGTCCAAGCGTAACGCGATGACGTTTTGTCCACATTGTCTTCAATTTTTCTCAGCAACGAAATCTCTTAGAAATTGGGATTTTTTCGTCGCAAGATGTGTCTTCTTAAATACTCTTGGAATCCAGTAAATTTGAGTTTATTTAGCTAACCATTCTGAAAATCATAACAAAAATACACAGCGTTACGCGATGATGAACAAGGAACGAAAATTTGGGAGTGTTATATTTGTTCTTTGTTTTTCTCCAAACGTATATTATCCTGAACAAAATATTTTATAATAGATTCGTAGAAAACACTTTGGAGTGTTGACGAAAACCGAAAAAATATAACCCTTTTCCTGCTATTAAGATATCCACAATATTGAATAAATGTGAGTTAAACCTCGTCTTCTGAAAATTACAAACAGCTTTTACCCATTTCCTCCCTAACTATATCGGGAAATAGTGGTGATACTTAGACCTAATTTTTCAAACTATTGGTATCAGAGTTGATGCGTTACGTGGCCAAGCAGTTTTATCAAAATTGACGCTATGAATATTCTTTACAAATCCTATCTTTTAACAAGAGTAGGAAAGTTCTCAAATTTGCAACTAGGTTCTTCAATGAGTCATTTCTTTTTTGTAATAGACGAACATATTCAACTGAGGCACAGTAATCAAGTCTACTTAGAAATTGAATATATCGAGAAAGATATATTTGTTTTTTGTTGAAACTTTTTGGATTATCAAAAAAAATTGATCTCTCAGGGGACAAAAACTGATTCTAAAAAGTTATATTTTCTTCATATTTTAAAGAAAAATAAATGCCCATGTAATTTAAACGGTTAGCTATCTCCTCATCGACATTTTACTGCGATGTACCGACACTAGTGTGAACAAACGTACAGCATGGATGATCTAGTTGAAATAAAGATTGTATGTCTATCAGTAATAATTGACTCAAATCGGCTGCATGTTATATTATGTCAAAGAGTACACTTGATTATTTTCTTTTATATTGGTCATGAAATGTCATGACGCATCTTTTAACATCAAAATAAAAACTGAGGAAGATATTAATCAAAGCTGAAGATGATTCTCATTCATTCTGATTGACTCATTAAATTCTATATTAAAACTTATTTCGAACAGTATATTCAATTCCATCCTAGAAACATAATTTAGTATTTTGCTATAAAGTTATTTTATCATTTCGAATCTTATCTCTAGACAATCCTATTCGAATATATATATATGTAGTCTTATGTCTAATATTATATAATTTTAGTTGAATCACCTACAAATCAAACAACATTTAGTTCGGATACATTCGAACCATTAAATGTATCATCGGATGAATCTGAATCTTCATCAAAGATACTTAATTTATCTTCATCTTCTCTTCCATCATCTGAAAAGATGAAAAATATAGATGAGAAGAAAACAACAACAACAACAACAACAACAACATTAACAAAATCTTATAAACAACGAAAAAGTTCATTAAAAGTACTTGAAAAACAAAATTCATTTGATAGTGGTGATGATAATCAACAAGAAAAAATTTCATATCGTCAACATAAAAAAAGTCGAATACCTCGAATATTATCACCAATTAAATCTCAACAAACAAATTTAATAACACCAATTGTATCAATATCCAATGAAAATTTTCAATATTCATCATCATCTTATAAACCAACAAAATATAATAATCAACAACAAAAATCTACTTATCCACGATCACTTTCAAAATCATTTTCATCATCATCATCATCAGCAGCATCATCACCATCACCAATTTTATATTATAATCAGGTTTGTTTTTTTTTTTTTGTTTAAATTTTTCATCAAACTATAAAAGTTTTTGTAGGATGATCGTTCATATCGTCAAAATTATCGTCATAAAATGACTGTTTCTCCACTTGAACGTGATACAACTCTTAAAATTGAAAAACAATCTTCAAAATTTTCACCAATACATTCAATAACAAATAGTCTTCGACCACCAATTATAATACGTCGTGATTCACGTAGTTTTGGTTTTACATTACGTGCTGTTAAAGTTTTTCATGGTAATACAGATTATTATACAACACAACATGTTGTTATTGCTGTACAAGGACCAGCTGAAGAAGCTGGTTTAAAACCAAATGATGTTATAACACATGTTAATGAACATCCAGTTTCTGGTTTATGTCATTCGGATGTTATTAAATTAATTCTTAGTGAATCAGATAAATTATCTATACGTGCTGTACCTTGTTCAGAAACACAAATACGTATTGGTGGTAGACGTCGTTCACCATCAAAACAAAAAAATCGTTATCAACAACAACAACAAACAGATAGAAAAATTTCTACAACATATAATGATAATCAATCATATTGTTTAAAATATCGAATGAATTCATTTGGAAATAATAATAATAATAATAATAATAATAATACATTAAATAATTCAAATAAAAAACATCAACGTAATACATCTTTATTTCGACGTTTAAGTGAAAGAAAAGTAGCTCGTGATATTGAAGCAGCAGCTGCTGCTGCTGCTGCTGCAAATGTTTCATTAATTGTTCCAACAAAATGTATAAATACAAATAATAATAATACATTGACGGCAACAACAACAACAAATACAGATGTTCTTTCATCTTCATTACCATTACTTTCATTTAATCAATTAATAAATGATAATAATAATGAATGTTCTTTATCATCACATCATCAATGTGATCCTTCACAATGGTCATCATCAAAGCCATCAACATTATTGACTAATGATTTAGATTCATCTCAATCGACTTCATTACCATCTATTACTAAACAACGATCTTTAGTTAGTATTATGATAGAAATATGAAAAAATTTATTCTTTCCTGTAACACGATCTAAAAGAATTGTTAAAGTATATAGGGATAGAAATTTGCATTCTCCCACAGGTTATGATAGATGTTAAGATTAAGTTAACGTTTCAAAATAGAATCTTCCTATGATTAGAAACAGTAGTTATATTGTGTTTTATGTTTTAATCCTGAAAGAATTGTGATAACAATTATTTTGTTTTTCTCTTTTAAGACTTCAAATTCATCTTCGATCAAACGTGCATCTACATTTGACGAACCTATTCATCATTCTCTTTGTAAAACTATATCTGAACCATCTCGTTCACCTCATCATAATAGTACAAATAACAATCAAATGCAATATTTGGTAAACAATAATATTAATAAATAGAGAATAATCATTTCTAATATGTGTGCTTATGCTTGAATAATTATTTGATCATGCTTATTTTATTTTATTTTTTGCTTTTCTAATCAATCATTGCTAATTAAAATACTAAATCGATTAAAAATCAATTCTAATAAAAAACAAAGGTGATTAACGTTTTCTTTTGAAAATAATACAATGAAAAATAAATGTCAAATTTTATTTTTTTTTATTTTAGTCACGACAAAATTATCATGATCAAAATTATTTCTATACACCAATGATTTCATCACATAAGAAAAAACTTCAACGTCAAAATTCCATTTATATTCCTCCATCACCAAGATCATTACAATCAACATTTACATGGGAAAATAATCTCAATCGAAATATTCAATCATATTATGATGATCCATTAACACGTTCATTATCAACGGAATCATCAACAAGTTCAACATCGACATCTAATAATGTCGATAATGATTATTCAAATCCGGTTTTTGTTTCTACAAAATATTTCTATCGACGAAAATAAGTAGTTTTTCAAATGTATATTATGTATTTCTCGAGATCAGCCTTGTACATACAAGTGCGTTCGAATGATTTGTTTTGTCTTTCAAATAATCTATATTTATCTTTTCTGTTTAAAAAATAAGTATAATAAGCCGACTAATTCTCTGTTGCTTTTATTGTTGTTCATAGAACTTGTATATGTTTTTTTCTGGACGATGGTGATGATATTTGTTTGTTTTTAAAACGTGATCTTTTCTTCAATTCTAATGATGAATATTATAATGATACATGCTCATAAAAATGATATTGCTATTTGTCTTCATGCTACAAACATATGAATCCTTTTTTCTGCTGTTTATACATACAGAGTATCAATCATTGTTTAAATGAAAGATGATTTTAAGACGGTAACAGCAACTACAATGTCTTAGGATTAGACTTTTCTTCTCTCAACAGTATTCAATCAACATACAATGCAAAAGAATTTGCGCAAATGTCGGTCTATATCTCTCTCCTACAGTAGGATGTGGGAACAAAACTTTCTTTTATTAGAAGATAGAGAATTTTTTCTTGTTTTCGATGTAGGCATGAAGTATGGATGTGAATGTGTCTCTTCATTTCATACACTTACACTGAGACAATGATCTTTACACCTCACACATTGAAAGATAGCAATTTACAGTCGCATGCAAATCTACCTATATCCACACTCACATCCTTCTTACTCAAGACAGAGGCCAGTACTTTCTCCTAAAATGAAAAATTCTTGCATCAATAACATAATTATGTTTTTTTGCGATTATATTTCGACAGTATGGCCGAGCGGTCTATGGCGGCAGCTTCAAGCACTGTTTTATCGTGGGTTCGTCAATCATTCCGGATTTATGTGCCCATCATTTTTACTAAATAATGGGTAGTCTGATAGAAGATATCACGTAAAATCTGACTTGGTCAACGAATCCTACTACTGTCATTTTCACTTTTTTTTAGTTTCATTAGATTTTACCTGCAAGTCTTTTCTGGTGGTTGGGTGTGAGTGAAGATGCGATGTGGATGAAAAGATTACTCATACCCGTACCGACACACACCCACACCCTTTACATTGATTTAAACTGGATTTAAATAAATTCAAAAAGTTTAAATTTATGTAAATCCAATTTAAATTCAAAATAAATTTTCAATTTCCCTTCGCCATCATTTTATGTGAACAAATACTTTCATGGTAGGTTATTTTCGTCGGATTTTTGCCAGTTTAGCTATAAAATTCGCCTGGCCAGTTGCTAGCTGGACCAGATCGAACAGAAACAAACTGTCCTGTTCGAATTCTGATGTGAGTCCATAAAAGATAGATAATATCGAGTTTTGAGTCGGAATGCCGCAGCCAGAATTAGATCTAACTATCTAATTCGAATGGTATTCGATTTCGAACGTTTCAATTAACTGTTCAGAAAATAAGAAACTCTATTTCAAGAGAAGTCGGTTTCATTTATTAATAAATCGGCTTCTCATGTAACAAAAATTTCTATAAAAAAATATACAAAATTTCATCGAATATTCTGATTAGTTTTTATTAAAACCGATTTACAATTGTTCAAAAAAAAAACATTTTTTATCGATTCTATTTGATGATAAGCAGTCGAATTTTAATCCAGTTTTATTTATATTGCATTGATTATAATCGATTTCTGTATGATTATTAAAACAATTTTAATCAAAGTTAATCAGAATAATCGATGAAATTTCGTATGTTTTGATTGAAACCGATTGAAGATGTACGATTTTTATCGATTAAAAATTGATTTTTTAATGCCGTTTATATTACTTTTTTTTTACATGAGTCCTTTCCGATAATTCTGATGGACAATTTTTTTCAATTAACACATTTCTATGTGTAAGTTCTAGTCGTCAACAAACTCTTTCAACTCTTCGAAATTACGAAAGATCAGACAACATAATGAAAGTATAATTTGAAATAGGCATTGAGCATGAAGGAGGACATGGCGGTAGTTGTGAGTCTAAGCTCCTCTTCACCCATATCCTCTCAAAATTATAGCTAGACACGCACACATCATTTACACTCCCTTTCTCTTATTTTAGAATAAGCAAAAATGTTTTCGATTGTTATTTTATGATTCTCTTCTAATCAGTGTGAGTCAACGAGTTTTCTTTTATAGACAAACTACTTTGAAGAAATCGTTCATAACACTTCTGCACACAATCGCAACATGGTTAATTTGTATACTCACTTAAACATATGAAAAGGCAGGTAATTAAAGTTTCTTGTTTATTCAATGACAACAAAATTTGTCAAACATTTTGCTAGAAGCTGTTAGGAAGTGTCGATCAATACACTCCTGGTTCACGTTTTTTATTCAAAAGAAAAAGAAGCTAACACATAGGCTTATCTTTATATGGATCAGGCCATTAGCCAATCAAGAGAGAAGGAAAAAGAACAGATAGAGGTAGTGGGTGAGAGATGGCACCACTACCTAACACCTCCACCCTTTATCAGTGAACAGTTATATTTGTTCACGAAGAGGTAACAACTGAGAGTAAGAAAATAAACAAGCCATGAACATGAAGTATTAGAATAGTACAAATAAGAAAAAAAATGTATGAATACATGAATGAGTAAAGAGAAAAGCTAGAATCAACAGGAATATATATATATATATTTTTTTTTTATATGTGTGTTATATATGTATAGGACGAGGTCAACATGACATGAAAAACAATAATGTTGTTGATATCAATTAAAGAAGTTAGTGAAACCGTAAACTATGAGTACGAGTATAATAAATCATTGAATGGAGAATTTCTCACGATGTATTTCAAAGGACGTAAGAGTATCAAATCAGGGTTATCGTAACGAATTTTATAGCGGAGACATAACCATTCATTCAAGGTTGTCGTACCACAAAAGTATAGTGCGTTTAGGTTAGATGTACAGGGTTATCGTAACGAAAGATCAGAGCTGTCGTAACCAATCGTCTTGCCCCTGTATATTGTCACTCATATTTCTTTAGTAAAATATAGTACGACGGCCCTGTATAAGCAGTTACGACAATCCTGTAAAATTCATTACGAAACTCTTGTAATTGAGGTGTTGATGTTGTAAAATAGTACATACCAAAACACTGGTTACGATCGCCCCGTAAAATTTGTTACGATAGTCCTGATTTTTGGTTACGAAAGCCTTGATTTGTGTTGTTACGAAATCTCTGTAATTGACTAAATCAGGGATTTCGTATCGGCCATTCTTTACGAAAGTCCTACAAAAAATACGTAACGAGTTGCAACCTTCTCATCAGGAGGTCACTAGCGTATTCAACGAATTCGACAACTTATTAACAACAAATATATCGTATATTGTATCCAAAATGACAAACCTCTATTTGTAAAATCAGCAAAATTTGTGTACTTGACATGAAAAATTTCTTCAAACTGATCCAAACATATTGGTAAGGGACTAACGAACAAGATACTGATATTTTGAATAGAGTGAATTAAAATGAATTTTTTTATGCCCGTGACCAGTGAAAACTCTATAGAGAGAATCTATACAAAAAAATTTGAAAACATCCGACACTCTTTTAACAATTGAACCTTGCATATCGTTTTCAATTTCACATATCAATACTTCTTCATTGTACAGAGTAAGAAATATGCTCTTATCAGTCAAATAGTAAAACTTCACTCTGATCAACTCTACTTTAACAAATATTGGTGAGTATATGCAAATACCAACTAACTCGCTTTTTGTCCTCAATTGTGAAAAGTAATGTTTAGACATCAACCGTAAGTTCAGATTATATTTTCGCTCTGTGATGCTCTACATACAACTTGTTTTTATTGGAAATGTATGATGAACAACGTTTGTATGTATTTGATATAAATACATTTCTGTACTTTTCAATATTTAATCATTGTTTTGTGTTCTGTTCATAAAACTGTTGTTGAAATTTCTTTTTCTTCTTCATCAACATGTTAGACACATACATGAGTGAATTGCGCCCGTATTGTACGGTTGCGTTTCCAACACCAAAACGACTATATCTCGAGTTCTACTCAACGAATTTTGATAATTTTTTTCAAATACTCCTTATAGTCTATCCTACTTACCGTAAAACTATCAAGTTTTTTGGCCTTCATGGCTGTAAAATTTTCAAGCATGAAAAGTCAAAATGTGTGCTTTTTTGGTGTCATATATCGATGAAAATCACTTCTTCTGTCTACAATTTTGATTGAATAAAAATAATTTTTTATGACCATCTTGTAGCTAAGACTTTCCTCTTTCTGATAATATAAATTAATTACAACTTCGATTTCGATTTACCGATCAAATCTTGCAAAAACTATCTAAACATACACTTTGACCATTTTATGTTCCAACAAATTAAATTTAATCTACTAAAGCCAATTCAAAAGCAAACGCGAATTTTTTTTAAATGTTCGATAGAGTAAAGAGCGAAAAATCTTTTGATAAAAATTTTTTCTAAGGACCTTCTGCAGTATAGCGTGTGAACAAATGAAAGAAAAGCGAGTCTTTTTCTTCTTTTATATGAGCAAGCAACAGAAGGAAGTAAATCTTGGTTTTTTTCCTAGTTGTATGTTACAAAGAAAAATGAATTTTTTTGTATGACGTTGTTATTTTTTTATTGCGAATGAATGACGTCAAAAAAAATTGCGATACTGATAGTGAGTTAGTGTGAGTATTTTATTCATCATTCACCCTTTGTTTGAATTTTTACATAAAATTCATTGTTGTCTTGTTGGTCACAACAGATGATTCTTTATTGATTAATTACAGATAGTGTGGAATAGCAAGAATTATTTTGATAATAAGAAGAGATCAGGTGCTTTTATGTGTAAGCATTCACTGATATTTGTTATCATCTATTCATCTATTAAAGAATGATTTACAAAGATTAAATGTTTGTAATACATGAACAAAATCGATCAAGCATAACATCAGGTATAGAACTTCGTTCATCAAATGACGTTTCAGTTGTTAAATCAAGAAAAATGAGTAAAAATAGGATCATGTGCCAATCCATCGATTGTGGTCATTGTATTTGTCAAGCATGTGCTGAAGAACAGCAAGAGTAATGTTTTTATCGATTAATTTTTTTCTGTCATTTTATTCCTTCATACTAATGTGATCATATGTGCTGAATTTCAGAAATCTTCGCTATAATATTTCTCATCTGCTCTTACTTAATCATCATACAGTTCCATATCAGCATTCATTAATAACTAAGATAATAAAAAGTTTCATGAAAACTAATAAACATAGAAGAAGACATCTCTTGAGAATTTTGTTTATATTACAACTAATATGGATAAACCATGGACTGTGGAGTTCGTTTCTGATCACCAAAACAATCTGAAAATAGTGAATGACTCATCGAGGATGTTAACGGTGGATTAAGGTTATACCTCGAAATCGATATATCTTCTTTCATTATGTCATTGTTGTCTTTCTTTTCTATTGTTATTGTTGTCGTTCTTCACTATCTTCTTGTTCGTCTTTCTTCTCCTTTGTTACCTTAGCCTATATATGTATGCACAAGTGTATGTTAGAAGTTAGAATTCATCTTTTTTTCTCGATTTGAATAAACAAGAGGTCAGCTCGTACGAAACGAGCTAATAGAGGGTATTCTATATATAGAGAAAAAAATCCATCCGATAATCAAAATCATTCTACTTCGCTCGTCTATACATTTCGATTCGATTCATTTTTAAATATGAATAACAACAAACGAAAATCAACGTTTAATTATTCTTATTATCAAGATATAAAAAAATTCAACATCGATCAACAAATGTAAGTCTTCTGTACACAAAAGCATTTCTACACATAAAATTTTCATATAGAATGTCGATCGACAATTTATCTAATGAAATCTTCTATGAAATATTTGATTATCTTGATGCTTGTGAAATCTATCATGCATTTTCTAATCTTAATCATCGTTTTCAACAACTTCTATATTCTTCATCACTGTTATTTAAAATTGAATTACATTATCGAACACCGAAAGAAATATTTCTAAATAATTATAAATCATTGATACGTTTCCATCAACATCAAATAATTTCCATTCATTTAACATATTCTATCAACGTCAATACAATTATTTCATCGATGATTAGAAATTCATTATTTAATCATCTTGAATCTATTCGTTTGCACGGCGTCAGTCCAAACATACTTTCAAGATTTCTTAAGAAGTGTATTTCTTTACCTCGTCTTTTCTTATTACGAATTGATACATCAAATTCTCTAAAAGATCTAAATAATATCTATAAATTAGTTTTTAATTTACCAAAATTAAAATCTCTTGAAATCACAGCACATGGTTTCAACAAATTCAATATAAAAACCTCGTTATCAATGGCAACTGCTAAACAATTCAGTCCAATTAAAAGTCTTATGATTGATCATTCTTGTACTTTCAAAGAATGTTCTACTATTATTTCTTATACACCTCAACTTCGTAATCTAAGTGTTTCACATTTATTAATGGACGATAATCCAAAAAAAGGAATTCATTTACCAATGATATTATCAAATTTAACATATCTATTTATATGTGAATATGATCTAGATTTTGATCAATTTGAAATGTTTATTCGAAAAATTGATGCAAAATTACAATTTTTATCATTTAATACTGAATCTGAAGATATAAATTATCTTGATGCTAAACGATGGGAAAAATTGATTATGAAATATTTACCTCAATTAGATAAATTTTATTTTCAATATCATATATATAGAGATTATGAAAATGAATATTCAGTATATCGTGATCAATGTGATCAATTTATTTCATCATTTTGGATTGATCGTCAATGGTTATTCAATGCTGATATTGATTATGGCTTTATTCTCTATTCAATTCAGCCATACGAGTATGTCGAAAAGACTTTATAATGTTTAATAAGTTTTCTTTGAATGTTAAAGTGTATAGGGGCAATAATTTTCATCTCCTCGCCAGACGCCTTAGTATTTCCCTGGTTTTCGAAATTAGGGCAGGGTAGCTCAATAGTTACTTTACTGAAACAACCTTGAATATCTCCGTTGCAACTTGAGTAAACGGGTTGATTTTTTATCAATAGCAAAGGTATATTGACACCACATATCCATAAAGACATGCCTATAGAGATCCTTTGTTAAGTATCACTATTGATTTCAACAAAAATAATTTATTTTTTCACAGATGGTAAAAAAGGAATATACTTAACAAAGGTCTGTCTTTATGGATATCAAGCTTGAACATGACTCTTTTATTGATAGAACAAGTCAGCTCGTTTGCTCGAGCCGTAACGGAGATATTCACTGTTTTTTTTGGTAGAGTGACTTTTGGGGCCACTCTGTTTTATGTAAGTAAGCATCTCGATCGTGTTTTACATATTAATTCCATAGAGATTTTACTTATAGTTGTTTTTTTTTAATTTTAGAAAACAATGGTATGAGTATGATTCACCACAAGGGATGGTTAATTCTTCTACTGATTTATCTAAATGTAGTCAACTTAGTATTAGATCTATTCCTGGTGAATATTTCGACTTATTCTTGACAGATGTTACTCGTGTATTAAATATGGCGGAAATATATCATTTGGAAATAACAGAAGAAAATGTTTTTAGTAGTATATTGGTTGAAATAGTTGATTTATTAGCTGAACTTCGTTCATTAAAAATTCATTCATTATCATTACGTGTACCAGAAGGATTATATGTTGAAAAATTTGATGTTTTTGATTTATTAGAAATTCCAATTCAAATTACGAAAGTTTATCTTAAGAAGATGAATGAAATTGAAGAAATTTATTTTCTTATGACACTTTGTCCTGATTTGACTTATCTCAAAGTAGATTCTATAAATAACATGGATATTGAATTATTTTTTCGAAATATTTTAATGAAAATTCCATCTAAATATAATGAACATTTTCGTTCAATGTGTATTCGTATTCCAACAGCAGATGATAAAATGATAAACAAGTTAGAAAAAATGATCAATGTCGAGAAATTATTAATTAATTATAAAATTCAACGTATATCTGAATGTATTTATTTACAATGGAATTGATTCTATTGACTATGATGTTTGTTCTTATATATTAAGATTTTTTTAAATAGAAAAATAAATTGAGTATGGAAAGAGATGATTCTTTGAAATGAACTTTTCTAAGATGTTGTTTGGAAAATTTATCTAAATGACGTTGAATATCTTTATTGGAAATTAATCTCAGGAATCAAAAAGTAGATAGGACAAAAAAAAATTAGTAACTTTATTCATTTCTATAATGTTTCTTTTATGAATTGGGGAACTAATTGGGCAGCGATTTCATCACCAGGTTCCGTTAATGAAAGATGGTGAACGCCTCTTTCAACAATTTCGAATTTCCATAGTTTAGGTAATTTTGAACTCCATTGTTTTGCTTCTTCCGCTGGAATCACGGGATCTTCCGCTCCATGCAGAACTAATGTCGGAACGTTGATTTTATCATCGATTCCATCGCGATTAAGAAGACAGTTGAACGCTGGATCATATCCTTCGGGCTCGGCATATCGTTTAATCCACATTTACTTAATTTTTTCGTAGACTTTTTCGCCTACACGCGCAGGACCACCGAATGATGCTGCTCCAGCAAGCATAGCTTCATCTGAAGGAACTTTTGTCTCGCACCATGTATCACGAGACTTGAGAAGATTAAGTTTTAGTTGTTCTGTCGTACTGAAGACCGTAGTTCCAAGTAATATTAATCCTTTGACTCGATAAGGTTCGGGTAGAGCCATTCGAAAAGCTGTAAAACCTCCTTGCGTAGTTTCAAGTACATAAAATTCATCAAGGCCAAGTTTACTTAGAAGTTGTAGTGAATCCGAGGAAGTATCCCAGAAAGTAAAATCTTCTCCACGACCTGTTGTTTCTCCATGACCATGTGCATCGATCGATATTAGATTATAGAGCGAATATCGAATGTCTTTGAATTAATCATCGTAAAATCGTGAATCCATCAGGAATGCATGGTGAATGACAATAGTTGGCAATGATTTGTCGATAGGATGAGAAAGTCGATAAGCAAGGATGACGCCATTGTCCAGTGACATATGAAATAGTTCTTTATTCGACATGATATATGTAATAAAAGAATGTGGATGCTCTGCAAGCTGTTGCCAACAAGTATTAACACGCTATTGATGATAGTGCGTCTTGTTTATCAGAAGTACTAAGTATAAAAGAGAAAAGAAGCTTTTTCTCCACGCATTCTATCCTATATAGATATGAGTAGGGATGTGTGCCTTTCATAACGTTGCAATAATGACAAAAAAAAAGAGAAAGAAAAATTGATCGAAATCAGTAAAGCAGTAGGAAGGCGTATGGATGATATTTTTTATAAGAAAAAAAGCCATTGGATGGTGCACGAGAACACAAAAGAGAAACAGATCTTTACGATAGGTCCTATAATTTTGGTGAGAGCATCAACATGTAATCCCATTGCAGTCAAAAATGTGAAATTAACGCGTGGTAACAACTTCTTTCCTTTGTTTTGATGCGTTCCACACCATCAAAAATGTCCGAATTTTCGCGTTTTAACGGTTGCCTTTTTCTTACATTTCAACCTCGTTATAACAGATTTTTTGGAAAATATTACTTCGCGTTTTTCATATACACACGTTAAAACGCCAAATTTCGGACATTTTTGACTGTACATTCCGTTTATATCA